AAATAATATTTATACTCTGTGCTTGGTTGACAGACAAAATATTTGTGTTTAAAAGACTAGGAGAGGAGAACGGTTTCAATTAAAAACAAAAACATTTGTCATGTTTGTTAAAACTGTCAGTATGCCCTGACAGAGGAAAATGACCTGTGAAAAAAATCGCCCCTCTTTGGCCCCATCTTGTCAGAGGCAGAAGTTATGAATAAAAACATCTCCATGCTTATTTGCCAAAAGCTGGGCACAATACTAGCAAACAGTGGCAGAGCGAAGAAACCTCAGGCAGCTGAGAGGATTCAGAAACAATTAGCTTTCGCAAGATTATTTCTCCACAGGTAAGTTTGTCACCTCTTTTCTATTTGCATCCCTTTTTTTTTTTTTTTTTCAAAATATTAACATTTTGTGTTTATAAATCATGCTAGCAACGCAGCAGCCGAAGCTAACATTGGCTTGTTTACAGTGCAAGTCTCGGGAACGTAAGTGAGGCCCATGACTTGGAGGAGAGAACGAAAATTAAGTGATAGTGTACTTAAATATGATTTCAATTGACCTGTCGTGGTGTTGGAAGCAGTCTTGTATTTCTTTTTACTCGGGGTTATTTTGTAGTTAACGCACGGAGGTAACAATTCCTACTTAGTTTCATACATCAGAACCGACGTTCTTTGTCTCTATCAACCTGTTATCACCTTCCTCCATGACGTTGCTGTCTCAGTTTTTTATCCCCCCGAGAAGCCCCCAATATAAAATCTTCGTCTTAATCTTTATTTACGTCTTTTCGAACATTGTGTCATCATCCACTGTGGTTAAAAAAAAAAAAAAAAAAAGGAACGAGTTGGTTAAACAAAGTACACTCAAGCACCTCCCCCGCGTAACTACGCAAAGGAAGGCTGAGTCGAACGCCGAACCTCAGAGCAGACATACTCGCCACTTTTCACCGCGTTGCCTTATTACTTAAAATAATAATAACAATAATAATAATAAACAATATATAAATGTAATATCTAAATGTATTCGAGAATCAAATCGTATTCTATTGGTGTTACGATTGTTGCAGTTGTTTGAGATCCTGATTTAGGATGTCACGTGATGTTCAACATTCAATATATTATTAATAATAATAATAGTAATAATTATAAATAAATAAATAGGTAAATAAACATTGCACAGCCCAATCTTCGATCCATCCTGATCGATTGTGGCCCCCATGAATGTGAATGGCCTCATAAATATTTCCTTCGGCCTACTGTAGGGGTCGCTCGTTGCGGCGTTTAATTAATGAGGTGCATATTAATTAATCAAGGCCACACTACGTCGCTCTTATCACGGCTTTTTGTATTTTTTTAAGCTTTTAAACGATAAAATTGAATTCATCAAAGCTGGAATCTCTATGAATGTTTGTGGCCTCAAAAAAGAGAAGAATAAGCGATGTGATTTTTTTTGTGTGTTTTTTTTTTTCTTCTTCCCGGTGCAAGAGGCGGTCAAACGACCTCCAGGCCAAAATGTGAAATGTGGAAAACAAATAAGATTACAAAATTAATATTCGCTGTTATGGCCTGTAGGCTTTCTTAATTCAATCTTAAGTGATCGAAAAGGACGACTTGGATGTCTCAAGGCCTACTTTTTTTTTTTTTTTTTACTTCTGTCCTCCAAGTGGTCAGCAGCGCCTTCTTCAAGCCGCCCCGCGGCTCCTCTAATGTGACTAATTATATTTCTTTTTTTTTTTTTTCGTTTCTTGGGTCATGGCGATTTATTTGAGTGCAGTGTGTGTTTTATTTAAGGAGAAAAGGGGTGAGTGTGAGTGTCAGTCATTTTTTAAGGAGACGAGCGCTTGCTCAAGTGTGAACGAAGAGAGAAGCCATCAGTCCCGCATGCAAGCGTCAAACAAGTTCAAATAAATAATACCCCCACCCCCCAAAAAAAAAAAAAAAAAATCAGAATGATCACAAAAACTATCAAGCAAGCACAGCGATGTTTTTAATCAAATAACTTTGGATAGAAAAATATTTTCCTTATTTGTCTGCCAAATTTGGCGCATTTGACCAAGATTTTTGTCATGTGCCAGCATTTTAAATATTAAAATGAAGACGCGAGAAGAGGTGTTGACCCTCATTAAATAAATACAAATGCAGGCAAACATGAAATAAAAGCGCGACGGTATTTCGGTTTGTTTACCTGTAGTAACGTTTAAGCCCGTTTAAAAACTTACGTGAAATAGAGGAAATGAATCATAATAGTAATCGCCAAAATTACATTCAACACTACTTATCTTTTCTGAAATGTGCTACTACGAAGAAATAGATTATTGCAAGATGTAATAAATTAAGACTTTAATTAATAAACGAGAACAATAAATCAAAACGATTCAACGCAGCAAAATCTGCATCGTCCTTTTTGTTGTTAATTTCCGCTACAATAATTAAGGAAATACGGCTAAAATGTTCTTTTAAAACTGCACAAAAATACAGCTCGTCGAAATCCATGTTTTTTCTTTTTGTCAACTGTGGGTGGGGAAAACCACGTTTCTCTTCATTTGAAAACATATGAATAGAAATGCATAAATGTAAGGATTTAATGATGACCACTATCAAAACATTCAGATCAAACAAATTTTCCATGATTTTTTTAAAAATCTGACTGCATCGTGTTCTTTATTCTTTAACCTCCACATTTTCCGTAGCTCGAATAAAACCTTTCGCCCCCCCCCCTTTTTTCTTCTTCTTTCTGACTCTTTCTTTCTTCTTGTTTTGTTGCTGGCTGGCCATAATAAAGCATTTTCTCGGCGGGCTTTTATTGATCACTCACTCTGAGCTAATGTAATTATCCTCATCAATAGGGTGACTGCGGGGAGAATCATTATGTGGCTGACATTGATAAATGATCGGGCCAAATGCGGACCTTTTTTTTTTCTCCTCCTCCTCCC